TCTTACCTCTGGCTCTTTACAGCTTTACGACGTTTTGTGATAAAAATGAATGTCTAGTTTTATTGTGTATTCTTGTAGCCTAAGTATCCTTTGGTGGAGGCAAAATCACCTCTTTGTAAAAGCTCATCAAGTCCATCAGATTACATGAAAGATGCAGCTGTTGCTATACACAGAGGAGAATGTACACTGTTTGCAAAGGGAGAAATAGCACAAGGTCACGGGGCAAAAGAAGTCATCATTATAAGTAATGATACTTTGGTAAGCTCTCAGTAGTCTATATTAATGCAGATGAAGAGATCTGTACAGTGAAAAAAATATTGTTCATGAATGTAGTGAATGTCTGGCAAGTTGAGGATATAAAAATTATTCCTATCAGGTGTTTGGGCCAGAGGCATGGTTTTCACTAAGAATCCTAATAGCAAGAGAAAGGTTTAATGTTGTAAACAGGAGAATATTCCATGTCTGGATAAAAAATAATAATAGGCTAACTGAACATTTGCCAGAGAATTTTGCATAGTTTAAGGAGAGTTCTCAGGTCTCTGATGCCTAATGAACACCCTGGGGAGGACATAGGTGCTAAATCTTTCAGGAGCTCAATCAATGCTTATGACATGACAAGAATACATCTTGTTTGACAATCATGCTGTTTATAAAATTTACTTCTGAAGGAGTAAAACCTAAACAGAATATTGTTTTTAATTAGTAGTACAACTGTAGCTTTTTAATGACCCTCAGTAAATGCTGCCTTGTAGAAGCTAATTTGCACAAGGTTCATATAGAGTCTTGAATTCTGAAAAAGTCTGGAAAAAGTAAAATGGTAAAAAGCCTAGAACTTTTTAAAGCTTCATGTACAACAAGTGCTTAGTAAGTGAATTTTCCTGTGGTCAAATTCAATTCACTCTCGCCCATCGCCAAGACTTTCAATCACAGAACAAGAAGTTTCAGAACTCTCTTATGACCGCATTGGACCGTGGTTACTGTACCTTTTCCAGTGCATCATGAAAAAAGCTTGGTTCTGCATTTTTTAAAGTCTCTGTTGAACACCTATTTGGTAACTTGAGTCTGGAGAAGTAAAGTATTGTAAAGTGTGGAAAAGTCTTGTATTTTGGATCCAAAAATTTGTACTAACCCTGTTTACAGTTATGCGTACCATGTTCATTATTATTGATGGGTTTTTTGGAGCTTGTTTATTTTGGTAACTGCTTGCATTGTACTATAAGGAGTGCAATTTTACTGACATACACAATGTAACTATAAAAGGTTTAACTTCACTTGAAATTTGTTTTTACAGACCTGTATATACACTGTTTTAAAAACCATTAATTTTGTTCTAGATATTTTTTTTTAAACAAATTTGTGACTTAAAATCCGGAACTTTTTGATTTCTTTTTTAGTTTACCCCTGATTGGAATTCATCAGAAGTACTAACCATTCCAATGGCTGTTATAAGTAAAAATGACTGGACTAAACTTATTCATAAGGTGAGCTCCATGCATGTATCTTTTGAAGGACTCCACTTTCTAATCAAGTGACAGTATACATAAAGTCATATAATTATCTATCAAACATTACTTTAAAAACACTCTTGCTATTCATCTCGCATAATGAAGGGAATAAGGATTCCCAAAATGATCTTTGCAGTCATGCGGTCCTATATTTATACAGTCATTTAGATATCAGGCCTGAGTTTCTCAAAAAAATGATGGTTACCTTAAACTGAAGATTAAGCCTCATTTTAAACAAAGTGTTCTTGGCCCAGTTCCTCAAAAGATGGTTAAGTTTAACCCAGGATTAAGCCAAATTTCAAGCACAGTTTTCTCGTCTAAGAACATGCAACTCAACAATGCATAGGAATGTAAAATACAAAAAACAGAACAAAATTTCAATCCTGGATTAATGCAAATCGGCCTTTCAGGAACTGGGCCCTGGTCTTTTCAGATGTGAGTCATGGTGATCAAAGATTACCTGCGTTTTACTCAGACACCAGGAGTTACATGTACTTTAACCCAGTATTTTAAAATGGGTTATGATTTTACAGTGGGTTAAAATAAATTGTAGGGCTAATGATTCTTTGAGGAACTGGACCATGGACATCACTGGGATTTAAACTTTCTTTATACCTGCAGGTTTCTTTTCATGCATTTTTTCTATTTTGCAAAGGTCGTTTCATTAATATTTAAAATGCGCAGTTTGTACACCATGATTTATAATAAATTATACGTTGTATCAGTATTTTACAGTGTAATTTTTTAAACTTATTTTGTATACATGTATGTGCATTGTATTCAAAAGAAAATTGCTTTGGAGCAAAACCATAATGTTTTAGAGTTTTGTCTCTATGGAAATGCAGCTACAACCAGTTGCAAAAATGTGGAGACACTCGGATGAAAAACCGACCTTTCTTACTTCAAGTTGCTGCTAGTCACATATCTGTGAGATATAATACTCACCTCCATTCAAAGTTGTTCCTCCAAGTTTTGAGCATGGTCCTGTATTGCTA